AAAGATTCTCTTTTGGTTTTATGTGATGTGATTATGTGAATCTGTTCTAATATTGTGGCATTTTATTTGCTTTAGACTTGAGCCTGCCACTGGTGCTTGCTATGGAGTTTTAGCGAACAATAACTCTTCAGGCTCGAAGTATCCATCCGAAGAAAACCTCCTACAGTGCTTAAGATATTTATACGACTCTTTGCTTCATCCACAGATGATGGTAAACTATGTTGAAGCAGGGACGAGGACTCTCGCGATGAGCTCAGTTCAGAAGCTTTTTGACTGCAAGCAGTTTGTGAAAGATTATAGTCCCGAGTTGTTACCATTGTCAGATTTGCACAAATTACGCATCTCATGTCAGATTGAAATCGTAGATGAATCTGAAGATCCAGAAGCCATAGCTCCAACGGAATTAATTGTGCTGCCCATGAACGCCACAGTGGCCGAGCTTAAAAGTCAAGCAGCGATTGCTTTTCAAGATGTATATCTAATGTTTAGAAGATTTCAAGTTGACGAGCTAGTAGGCTATAGCGGTGTTGAAGATTCCACCCAGGTCAAGCTCTTGTTAGGATCGAAAGATGTAGTTTGTGTTCGAGGAAGATGCATTGGGAAAAATGGGTTAAGTAAGTTTCGGATGGAACGTGGACTTGAGAGGTGGACTGTAGATTGCAGCTGTGGGGCCAAGGATGACGATGGGGAGAGAATGTTGGCGTGCGATATATGTGGAGTGTGGCGGCACACTAGGTGTTCTGACATCCATGATACTGATCCCGTTCCAGCACGATTTGTTTGCCTCAAATGCCAAAACAATGAATCAAAACTCAAATCTGGTGGCCACTGCAAAGATGAGACTGTCACTAACGTTACCACTCCCACTAGTTGTTTCGGAAAAACCTTCCCAGTGCCATCTGATGTCAGTTAGTTACGTTGCTAATCAGATTTGTACGGAAAGATCCTCCTTTTTATGTTTCTTTTTTTTTTTTTTTGCCTAGGCCTGAATGAACCTGTACATAACACACAGATAGGCCTTAGAGATAGGTTCAGGGACAGGGCATGTCTTGTTCATATTTCAGGTTCTACCTTAGCTTGTTTATTTTGTGTACATAGTAGTCACTGACCGAAAGATGTGGAAGCCGTAAAATCCAAATATTCAACTTTCTTTTCTTCCCTTCTAAGTGAGCTTCATGGTTTTTAAAAATACTTCAACACTTTTTCTTTATAATGCTGTAACTGTAAGAGGGTTGGATCAATGGGCTTTTACAAGTATCTATGTTTTCTAACTTTTGTTAACTTATCTCTTATCAAGGATTTTACTGAATATAGTTGAAGGAAATTGCTTCCTGCACCCTACCAAAATTCTTCCAGCACCCTATCACTTTTCAATAAACAGTTCCCGAAATATTTTTCCATAAAGCAATTACCTTCTCCAATTAGGGAATGTAGGATGCAACAGCCTAAATTAAACAGTTCTCGATATGATTTCAATTACATAAAAATAAAAGTAAAAGATAATTGTTTGTATTTAATTTTAATTGAGAAAAAAATCTATTCAAATACGCTTGTAAACAATCTAGGTTGTGATGATGGAAAGAAAAAAAGAGAGAAGGATAAACTGGAAAAGATAGAAAAAAAGCAAAAAAAAAGGATTAATTAAAGGCAATATACGTATAAATGGTCCAAATAAAATAGATTTTTTAAAAGGGTCCAATATTTGAAAACAAATTAAATGGTCCAATATACGTATAAGTTTCCACTTCAATCTTATTTTAATTTAGTAGAATTATTAAAAGGGTATAAACTATCGGTCGAAATATCCCAAAATGTATATATTTTGTGCTAATAGAAACATAAAAGTTATTTGATAGTTATTTGAAGGATATTAAAATAATGAATAAAAATAGAATTGAAATTTGGAGATGGTAATGTGCACATAAGAATATTAAATGGTTTGTAAAGCAGGCAGCACTACCATAACAAACGTGTCTACATCACTCGCAAAATCAATAAAAGGTGTACAAATTTTGATGCTTCACCTTCTAGCTTGGATTCCATTTCATTACCAAGGACAAACATTTTGTAATTTCTTCTCTCTTAAATCTAAATGGCAACCAGCTGCATCAACTTTAGTAAGCTTTAGTTTTTTACTTACGTTAAATATTAAGTTGTCATATTATGGACAGCTAATCAGATCACAATACATGGCCATATGTAAAGATGCATTGCTTCAATTTATTAAATTAATAGGCTTTTATGTTTTAGGTTAAAGATTTAGGCAATAATATAATTGTTTAAATTTTTTTTATAAATAGTCATATTTCTAACTTTAAGGAATAAATACGTGAAAATAGTATAAACAACTATTAGAAGAGTGTTGAAGGAAAAAATATTTTTCTTTTCTTATTTTTTTCTTCTATTTCTCCAACACTAAAGCATGGAAAAGAAAAAGTAGTTATTATTTTATCTTGTTGAGAAAATAATGTGTTTTTTTTATTAAGTAAACTCTATAATAATTTTTTTTTATGAGACTTCTCTTATGTCATAGAACGTTTTTTTTCTTAGCAAATATCGAGAGGAAAAATAATTGGGTGAATATAAAATAAATTAAATTATGGAAAGAGAATGAAAAATTTCGTAATAAAAAGAAAGTTCTTAGGAAATGAGTCTAAGAGAGAATAGAAAAGTAAAATTTTGCATTTTACATAATAAATTAAAGTTTACATTATTGAACAATTGATGGTTAGATCAATATTTTAGCATAAAACATAAATAATAGGTTTAAATGCTTTCTTAGTCTCTATATTAAGTGATTATTTTTAATTTAGTATTTAAAAGTGTAAACATTGTGTTTCTATGTTATCAAAATTATATAAATGAATCATCCCGTTAAATTGATATAAACAGAATTAATTATGCTGGTTAATTATGCTGGTTATGAAATTTGATTTTTTTTTTATTTTCTCTGCTACGCTCTTTCTACAACCCAGCTTTTTGAGAGTCTTGCTGCCGCCGTGGAGTAGATGGTAGGGCTTTAATCATAAATTTATTTATATGTATTTTTATAATTATAATTTATTACTTTAATCATAAATCTGTCGATCTATTTATAGTGGGTTGAAAATATTTCTTCACCTAATCAATCTACAAAAATTTGAGGATTAAATGGACTAACTCATAGGCAGCACGGGATTAACAGTGGACTGGAAAGGAAATAAAAGAGTTTCAGGAAGTGGATGATGGGTTTGGTGAAAAAAAAGGAGAGAGAGAAAAAGAATTATTTCGTAAAGATATAGAAAAGAAAGAGAAAATTGGGACAGAAAACCGAGAAGAGAGAAGAAAAATGTAAATTATTTTGACAGTTGAAGTTAATTTCGTTTCTGTTCCGGGAGAGATTTCATTCAAACAATTTTACAATTTTAAGATTCAATATCTACACTTTTTAAAAATAAATATTAAACTAAAAATAATCACAAACATAAAAATTAAGTAACATTTAAGTCTAAACCATAAATATAAATACTAAAGAGAAACAAAAAATTATCAATGTGTGTCAATAAATAATATAATTGATAAAATTGAGATTTAAAGTTTTTTGAGATGCAATACATCTGTACATAAAAAAAATTGTATGATAAAAGTTATGATAATACTTTAGAGGTCTTATTAAACTTGATAGATATAATAAAGATGAAAAAAACCATTGATTCAGAGAGCGGACCAAAAAACTCTCTGTAAACAATAATTATTAATAAATAAGTTGAACAAATTTAAACAATAAAAAAACTAATTATATAATATTCATAATATCTAATTATGTTTTATTATAATATATATCAAATGAGTCAAACGGAATGAAAATTTATGTGAAAAAAAAGCTCATGGAATAAATTATTAAAGAGGCGAAAATACGATTTTAGATTATATAATAAATTAATATTTTTTTGTAATTTAAAACGAAAATTAACATAAGGTGAATTAGTTTAGACAAATTTTTCTTGAATTAATTTATTATCTTATTTGAAGCATTGATATAATTTTTGTAAAAATTGTGTTATTAAGAGAGAGAAAATCATGAAATCAATCTAACTCACTCAAATCAAATATGTTTAAGAGTGAGTTGTGTTAATTGAATTTAGCATTAAAAAAAGATAAAAAAAAACTCAAATCAACCTAATCTAATATATTATTTAGTGAGTTGGATAATAAATTTACCCAAGAGTCTACCTAAACCCATAATACCATAAGAATAGTTATTATTAAGAAATTAAGAAAACTTTTCTAGTATAAACAAATTAAGGAATTGGGCTTTCTATTTTATTACTTTAAATTTATTATGAAAGTGGCATTTGCGTGTTAATAGTCTTTTAGTAAGTAATCTTTTAACCATCGCAAAATTAATCATCCGATGTGGTACCAAAACTGTAATAGTCATCTGATGTATTGGGTCAATTTTAGATTCCCCTTTCTAAGCTAAAGTTGACTTCCAATATTATTCATTCATATTCTCAGAGCTTCTAACAATCTAGTCATAACAAATCTCAATTTTGGTTAAGACTCTTTTCTACATATTTTTCCACCTGTTTCCAACTCTTTCAAAGGTTCTCGTCAAATGATCTGGCTCTTGCACGTTCGTCAGTCACCAATGTGAAATTCCTAACGTGTCAGCTTAATTACATGCAATCACCATTCATATGCAATGTAGTTTTATTAAATCCACAACATTTACATTGACTTAGGTGATTAGGTAGGACTTTAGAAATTAAAAACATGGTGCAGGTCTAAATAATAAAGTGCACACACCACTATGTTCAACTTCTATTTTGTTTTAGTTATCTTTTTCCAGTTTTGGCCAACACTTCTTTTCAATCATTTTCATTATACAAGTATAATATGTGTATGCACACACACACTACACTACACTAGTGCCGTACCCCACTATGCAGTTGCCAACTATTCCCCCACTATATAAGGTTCTTAATTTTTGGCTCTTTTATTTTGCAGATCAACCTCACTACTCTCCCTACAAACACAGTATATATAAGTGTCTTGTTTTGTGAAGATGTTGTACAAATCATGTGTGAGGCCTTCAAAGGTCATCATGGCAAAATTTCTTACATTACTGCTGTTGTTGCTAATTCAAGTCTTTGCATATGGCTTCAGATACGGAGCAGATGGCTTGAACATGAACTACTACTTGATGAGTTGCCCTTTCCTTGAACCTGTTGTTAAGAACACTGTCAACAGAGCTTTGCTGGAAGACCCCACTCTCGCAGCTGCTCTTATCAGAATGCACTTTCATGACTGCTTCATTCAGGTTTTCCCCCCCTCTCTCTCACACTAAATTCATTCACAAATGGATGAAATACTATTCCATCTTTCTCAGGATACAGTGCAAATATAATCAATCTATCTACACTAACTAGTGTAGCTTTTAACTTCTAACAAAAGAAAATATAAATCTAACGTAAAAAATTAACAGTAACAGTTTTGTATATAAAATGTCATTGTAGACTTCCATGGTTAGACATCAAATAAGACATAGATACATCAAATAAAGTATAGATGTCGACTACCAAATTAAACATAAAAAAAGTCCAAAAATATCTCATTTTAAGTGTTAATACTAATTATTTTTACGACATAGATATCAACTCCCTGTATTAGACGTCAAATCTTTTTTTAAACGTTGGTTCTCCAATTCAAACGTCAAAAAAAGTCTAAAAATATCTCCTTTTAAGCGTTAATATATTTTTTTTTACATAAAGATCGGTCCCTCATACTTTAAATCCTCCTTTAAGAGTATTGTATTTTTGTTACTTAGAATTGTGAATGGCCAAAACGTGAAAGTGGTTACCCAACTATTTCTTGTCGCTAAAACGTTCACCACTATGGAAGATGTGGTGTGGTGCATGTGTCTCAACAAAGGACAAACTTGCTTTAAGAGTTGCATCCAGATAATGGTATATAGTATAATCCACTAAACCATCAAAATTGTTTGTTTTCATATAGGGATGCGATGGCTCGGTTTTGATTGACTCCACTAAGGATAATACAGCAGAAAAGGATTCTCCAGGAAATCTGAGCCTGCGAGGCTTCGAAGTCATAGATGCTATCAAAGAAGAGCTTGAAATTCAATGCCCTGGTGTGGTTTCATGTGCTGATATTCTCGCCATGGCTGCTAGAGATGCAGTTTTCTTTGTAAGATATTCAAGTCAAATAATACATTACTCTTTCCTTTTCTTTTCCTATCTGGTCTGATCAAATAGTCATTTACGTTGTTTATCTGGATATTGATTATGATTATGAAATTATTACAGGGAGGAGGACCGGTATATGACATACCTAAAGGAAGAAAGGATGGAAGAAGATCCAAAATTGAGGATACTATCAATTTACCATTCCCTACTTTCAATGCCTCTGAGCTCATTAGGTCGTTTGGCCAACGTGGTTTTTCTGCACAAGAGATGGTGGCTCTCTCTGGTAGGCACATTATTTTCTCAATCATGTCCAATCATGCTAAATATATTATTGAGAATCCAAATATGACTCTAAGATTCACATAGTATAGAAACGAAAAAAATAGAGTACTATTAAAAAAATCAAAGATCTGCGTTAATCCATTATTTTGTAAAGTTTTAAATAGAAAGTGGTGTGAATTTTTTATGTCACTGGACTCATATTTTATTATTGTTTGTGTCTCCCCGTAAACTAAAAAGGATTACTCGTGACCGATGTCTCTCGGTGAACTTCCTTCATGGATCCAACACACGTGTATATATATATACACACACACACACACACACATATATATATATATATATATATATATATATATATATATATATATATATTCATAGTTTTATCCAATTAGTCTGCTTTCTCTTGAAAACATCAAACATGCATGAAAATTACAGAAACTCATGTGACAAGCACTTCATTGGATTGTATGCATATTCAGGGGCTCATACACTGGGAGTGGCAAGTTGTGGTTCTTTCAAGAACCGGTTGAGCCAAGTGGATCCAACTTTGGACACAGAATTTGCCAAGACACTTGCGAGAACATGCAGTTCTGGTGACAACGCAAAGCAACCATTCGATGCGACGAGTAACGATTTTGACAACGTTTACTTCAACGCTTTGTTGAGGAGAAACGGAGTTCTTACATCAGACCAAACACTGTACACTAGCCCCAAAACCAGGAACTTTGTGAACGCTTATGCATTCAACCAAGCCATGTTCTTTTTTGATTTCCAACAAGCTATGGTGAAGATGGGTCTGCTTGATGTCAAAGACAATTACAATGGTGAAGTACGACAAAATTGTCGCAAAATAAACTGAATGATGAATTCTGGCTTTGTGATTGTTTTAGGTTTCAGGCAAACGTCAATCCTTGCCACTAGTTAAAACTACATGATATGCATATTATATGTTATATGCTTAATTAGGTTGTTCTATTTGGTATCCCTTGGATGTATTGTGTTCATATTTATATGCCTGTAATCCTATGCTGGATGTAGTACTTTTTATGAGTATTGTGGGGTTGCAATTAGTAATTGTGGGACTGCAAGATGCAATTGCCTCGGGGTCTTGTTCCTGAGTTGAAATATTTGAACTTCTATACTTTAACCATATGATTATAACCAGTCACTATTAATTTCTAAAGAATAATCAACATTCTCTGATTTTTATTCTCGTGTTGGACTGCAAAATTCTCAAAATATAACAGGTTGAATTGAAATAATAAATCCATGAAAATAATACAACTTTTTAATCCATGCCACGGAGAAAAGGGGAATAAAGTTTAATCACATAAATGGTAGAATAACAAGATTAAGTGAAAAGTCATCACTCAAAAGTTATATCAAAGATAGTTACATGTAAGAAATCAAGTCAATAAATATTTATAAATAAAAATACTTTTAATGAAAATAAAATTACTTTTCACTTATACTTTTTGTTTTCCGTTTGGTAAATTTTGTCTCCAAATATTTTACACATATTTTACCTCAATTTCATTATAATTTATTAATTTTGTCTAAACATTAATGGATGATCTATGTTATTAATTGACGTGAAAACATATTTATAGTAAACTTTTTTACGCTAAGTTTTGAGATATTAATTAAACAGTAACTCTTTTAAATATGTACATGTTTTTTGTTTTGAAAGGCTTAAATTTATGAAAAGAAAATGAGTAGAATACTAAGATTAACTCAAAATTCATAAGGTATTAAAGATAAGAAATCCAGTTAAAATAATAATTTATAAATGTTTTGGATGTGAGGTTGACAATCAGGAATAACACTCCTTTAATATCATTTTAGGTCTTCGTTACAAAGTTACTAAATGTGTTTTATCTGTAAATATGTTCGATTTGATGCTGATGTCTAAACATGTACATGTTTTTTTTTAAACATATAAACTTAAATTTATGAAAATGGACATATAATGATGAGAAGAGAAGTCCCACATAGGTGAAAATTTATCTTGAGATTTACCTTTCATGTTATAAAAGGAGTCAAAGGTTTCCTTAAAGGGATAATGTAAAGTTTCTTCATTTAAATTAAACTAAGAATATTCTCTTAGAAAAAAAAAATGTGAAACTTCTTTTTTCCATATTCTCTTACTTGAAAATTTCACTAGTTTCTTTGAAATTTTCAGGTGATAGAATGTGGCAAGAGATCTTTTACATAAGTATAAGTAAGTATCAATTTTTCATTAGAAGAATTCTAAAAGAAAGTCTCTTTAGTTATGTTGGTTATTTCTTATATAACACAATGATCAAAATCTTTACTATCGTCTTATTATATAATTGTATATAATTGATATACTAAGCTTTAAGCTTAACTATATCTTACTAAAGCTAATTTCTTTCTGCGCATGCCTCTACTTTAAAATATTTTAATAAATTCCATTCTTTTCACGTTTTCAACTATTAGTCAAGTGTCACAAAAGTCACTTGTTTCATATATAGTTAATATTTTGAACGAATATGATTAGTTATATGTGATTAATATTAATTACTTGTAAGATAAAGTTAATTATTTATAAACATTTTAATAATTTTATAGTATTTTTAATTACTTTAAAATAAATTATTATGAACGTTTCAATAATATCGTGACACTATCTACATCAATAATTATATATAGTTTCATTTCCCATCAGCCACTTATGAAGCCAACCAAATCATGTTTATCCATTCAGTTAACTAAGTGTGATGATTAATTATCCTGTGATACTATTATCAATTGTGGATCAAATTTATAATAAAGTTAAAGGAAATTATACATACACACCTATATTTATCTATTACTTATATAACAAAGTTAACCATACACATTGTTATAAATAACGTTTATCTGATTAACTGATAGGTATGGAAAATGACAGTAGTCTGAATCTGCAGTCTTAATGCAACTATACGTAGCAGACAAGAGGTAGATAAATGGAAATGCCGTAATCAAATCCAAATTTTCAACATTATTTTCTGATTTATTTTGTTATGTACACATTTTCTTGACAAAATATGGTTTCTGTGTTGTGTCACCATTGTTGCATATATTACATCTTTTGAAAATCCTAAGCTAATCTGCATGGCATCCAGTTGAATGGTAAATGATTCTTTCTCTCAACTGATATCAATGAAGAAACACAAGATTTTAAACAACTAAATCTGTAGATTTTTGTTTGAAACACTCTAAACCATCTTGCTCTCAAAATTAAACAAAGAGAGATCAATGACACATGACTTTAAAATTAATATTCGAATGTTGCATTTCCTTCTCGAAAACACTGCATAAAAGGGGAGAAAATTAGGAAGGGTCTATAACAAAACACTGGGGAAAAAATCTTCAAACAAATGGAAATAATGAGACAAAGCAAAGATGTTGTATCATGCTAAGTTAGCTAGTTGAGGGATTTCTCTTGGCAAAAGTGTTCTTGTTATTGTGAATCCACACTTTGAGGACTCTTCTTTTGATTCCAATCTCCTGGCAAAAGTTTTGCACCACAGATTCATCTAGCTTCTGTATCCTCCACCCTGCTCTTTCTGCAAAAAGAAACATCTTCTCCTTTTGTTCTTGTGTGAACTTGGTTCTAAACCTCTTCTTCACCTTTTCAGTTGCATTATTTCCCACCTCCTTTGTCATCCCGTTTTCACAGTCCTTCTCATCAGACATATCAGAAGGACTAATTGAACCACTTTTGTGGGGAGATAACTGAGTCAAAATAGGCCCTATCTGAGTGGTGTCAGGAATAATCATCAGAGGAGTGATATAGGAATCAGAAGACTCTATCTCTTTTCTGTGGAAGTTTCTGTGGCAGTTGCAAGCCGAGCATCTGAGAGCCTCAAGCGTGCCTTCTTCTCCATCAGCAATGAACTCGCCACAACCATCAGTTGCATTGCCACCAATTGAAGCTGCATGGTTCTTCAGACATTCCGTGTATCTTATTATTATCTTTCTATCTGCCCTTCGATCAGCATGTAAATTGCTTGACTCCATTTGTTGAAGCTTCTACAACTGGTGTTGATTAAAGAATCAAAAAGGGCAACTTTATCTGATGAGGAAGACTGATGAGAGCTGTAACAGGTTGCTGCAAGTACTTATAAGGAAGTTGGAGTTGATGGAAAAAGGTACACGAGGTCTTGATTGTGAATTTTGTAAGTGAAGCAACAAATATATAACTTTGAGGGTGTGAAAGAGAATAAAAAAAGGTGTTTAGGGTATTTGATACACTATTTTATTGGTCACTTTATAGCTAGAAAATTAAAGTAGCTAGCTCAGAAGTTTATGGTCCAGATTTGTCTCTATGTATGTGTTGAGCGTGTGAGATAGAGAGAGACCTCAGAACCAAATTACAATGAAATAAAGAAAGCATAAATGTGTTTTAGACTAGAGAGTATGTAGAGACAGTTGAAAAGTTGGGTGCATGCCATTGCTTTGCTTTGCATACACTGTTAGACATCAAGCTTACGCTATTAGAATGTTGTCCTTTAAAAAGATTAAATTAGTGAAAGGATTGCCAAACAAAGATAAGAAAAGAAGAAAAGTTAAACAGGAAGCCGAAAGAGATTAATATTTGTGGAGAACTGTCCACTTAGAAGAAAAGACTGTCCATTGCTTTGCAAGCTGCAATAATTGCATTACTCAAAAAGAGGGTTGAACTGTCCTAGATTTGGACTGTGGTTGGTTGTCCCCACTCACCATTTGCATACCTATGTTCTATATAAGTTACCACAAAAAGGTAGATATCATTTTCAATTGCAAGGAATTAGGCAAGCTTAATAGAAAAGTCTTGATTTGTCAATATGCAAGTGGTTCTATGTTAGTCTTATATTTCCTTTATTTATGTATCTCAAAAAGATTGGTCCTGTTTTGAAAAGGAACAGGACTTGAATGTGTTTCTTTTCAAAAACAATATTACTTTGATTCCATGTCATTTATACTTAACAGAAGCTAGATTATTGACATGGCAAATGAACATGAAACTTACATATTTTTATGGTGATGATGTCTCAGTATTCATTTCTCATAACTTGTATATATATAATTAAATTTAAAGTTAATATTCTTCATTTCTTGGTACTAATGATGATATCTGTATTAACACTGTAAAGCCAACAAATTAAGAAAATAAAGGTGAAGAAAGAGGTGTGGAGGAAAGAAATCGTGAGGTTAATTCTCTCTAAAAACTATAAAAGCACAGCATTCAAGTCTATATCTATGATTTGAGAAGTAAATAATAAGTAATAGTTGTAATAAGTTGAAAATATATTTACTGTCATTGTACAGCTTTTGTATAACAATTGAACAGCGACTGTGCCAAACAACAAGAAGCTGCTGTGTCATCTACTATATTATTGCTACTCCAATGATTAGGCCCTAAGCACAAGTGACAATTATAGGCTGCTCATAATAAGTCCTCTCCACTCCATACAGCCGCTACATCCAACACCTCCAATAATCATAGCCTATGTTCGTGATAAATTCATCAATAACTTGTTTGTGACATTATTCTGAGTTAATTGTATACGAGCAGTTATATCAGAGAATGTAAATTTTGACCATCCAAAAAGTAAACAATGATGAAGAATAATGAAAATGAGAAATTGGAACAGAAGAAGGATTTGTAAAGTGTAAACTTTGCTTGCAACTGTACTAAAAATCAGAGTAGTAAAATGGGTTGGATTTCACAGGTTATCACTACTTAATTTATTTTTATCCAAAAAACAAGTGACAAAAGAGACTATTTAAAAAGTATAATAATATATTGTGAAACTCATTAAAAATCATATAAGAATTCAGAACAAATTTTAATATTGGAGCTAAAAATACTAATAGTTATAGTTATTAAATTACATATAACACTAGTGAACTTGTAAAAAGTGTATTAAAAACATAAAACGAGCTCTACCATCGAAGATGGTTCTAGATTTCATATTGCAATATTCACCTTGGATTGCTTGTTTACCTTCTAAGGTTTAATAACGTTAAATAAAGACCATTTGTTTATGAGCTTTCTAAGAAAATCTTTTTTTTTTTTTTGCATTACTTAAATTTATAACACTCATTTGAATTTTATATAGTCTAAAAGCTAAAGCAGCAACTGAAAATCATGAAAGAAATAA